AGATAGATAGATAGATAGATAGATAGATAGATAGATAGATAGATAGAGGGTTTTCATAAGGATTTTTAAAACATCCTTAATGTTAGTTCTCTTTCCTCCCATCCATACTGTCTTACATCCCTCCACACTTAGACCATTTTCCCATTATTCTCATTTCCTACTTCATACCACTTGTATTCCATTCTTGGTTCCCTAAGATTAGCTCCCACCAATGGCTGCTTTCTACTTTCCTGGCTTCTATAAGCACTCGGAGTTAAATACCTATAATTACCTAGCAGGGTGTATACCATGTTCCCAGGAATGGTTTTCTCAGGGTGAGGCTTATGCATTGCACTCCAGATATGTTGACCCCTGTGATTGCCCCAAATGTGGGAAACTCAACTGCATAATTTGTGGTAATGGGGGACCGTGTTTGCACATTCGCCTATTAGAAAAAAATACTCAAAGCTAAAGAGCCAACGCTAGGATTTCCATATTAGAGAGAACATGGAGCATTTATTTTTCTGGGTGACGTTTTAAAATTTTGTTTTGCTTTTTCTTACATCATTTCTTTACTAGTTACTATTCCTGTGACACCATGACTGAGGCAACAGAGAAGAAAAGGTTAATTAGGATCTTACAGTTCCAGAGGGATAGGGGTCCATCACTATCATGATGGGGAAACATGGCAGCAAGCAGGCATCACACTGGAGCAGCTCACATCTTAAACTGTAAACAGGAAGTAGAAAGTACAAAATGAGAACAGCATGTGGCTTTTAAACCTCAAAGCCTACCTCTAGTGCTAAACCTCCATCATCAAGGCCGTACCTTCTAAGCCTACCCAAAGAGCTCTACCAACTGGGGGACCAAGAGTTTAAATATATGAGCCTATGGAGGACATTTTTATTTACACCGTCACAATTCTAAAATACTGTGTGTGTGTGTTATTTAAAATATTCAAAGAAAACATAAAAACTGTGAGCAAAGAGTGAGTATAAACCCCCTGCTCATAAATGACAACGTTGAAGGTGTTAATCTCATCTGGCTTAGTTTCTAAGCTCCCCAGCTTTGCAAAAACATCAGCTGTGTCCTAGGTGGCAAGTGGCGAGAAGAAGGGATTAAGAGCTAGAGTTCTGAGATCAGACTTCCTAGAGTCACAATTTATATCTCTCTTGCATTGCATGACCTTGGGTGAGCTAACAACTCAGTGTTTACATTTTATGTGTGGGTTAAGTATAACAGCATTTTACAGATCATTTTAACCATTAAAGTTTCATACACACAGCCTTCAGTATAAAAATCACTATACAGAATTCAATAAACTTCAGTGGTAAATGATCACTTATTGTGATTGCTTAGGGATAAGCATGCACACTAGAATTATTGATGTTTAAATATGTTTAAATTATTGATGTTTTAAAATTGTGGTTTATTATGTCTTTATATATATCTATAATTTTACGTGTGCCTGGCTTCCATAGGTGGAGCTAAATCGCCCCTACTTGAGAAGGCCCCTCTTTGTGCCCCAGTCTTAGCAGATAGGGTAGAGCAGAAACAATGGTGAAGCTGCTGGGGCTTTGTTCTTTCTTTGATTGTTCTCTCACTGTGGGAAGTCAGCTGCCATGTCTTAGAAATGACCCTATGGCACATCCATTTGGCTCTTTACACCAGCTCATGTCAGGCTTTCGGATGACCACAAACTCATATCAGCATCTTAACCTGGCTCATGAGGTATCCTGCTTCAGAACAGCCCACCTCAGCTGTTCTGGAGACAATGCAGACTACTATTTGATGCCAGGATACAAATGGGCAAAACGTTAGAGACAATCTGATAGGCAATGAATCAGTAATTAACATGGTATCACTTGAATCATTAGTGGAATGTGGACCAGGAGGATTAACCTTGACAGTGCCTGGGCATTGGTGGGGTGAGACAGGAAGGCTCTGTCACCAGAACAAGCAGAACAAGGGTTTTTTCACTAACCAGCTCCATTCACTTAAACTACATGGATATGCTCTTTGATTTTTTTCCTTCCGATTTTCTTGTTTTGATGTTTCTCCCTTAAAATTATATTCCTTATGACCCTCTCTCCAGGCATAGTCAGGCAACCGTGTTCTGTAAAGCATGTAGATAGAAAATATTTTGGTTTTTTTTCCCCCAGCTTTCAAGTACAACTGAATTGATAGCATTTACTTGTTTTAGATTGTGATGCATGCTTATTACCTATATTAAGTTGGGAAAATTTAGACTATGTCAAGGATATGGAGTGATAACCACTAGATGCATAACTGACCAGAGATAAAAATAATTATCATTGACACTCTTCTTTATAGATTTTAAATAAAACCTCAATATGTACACAAACCTATGTGGAATTGAGATTTTTAATGTGTCTTTGATTTTGAAATGTCTGATGTGCTTCTCAGGTTATTTTGAAATTTCACAACCTCTCTTTTTCAAATTATATATATATATATATATATATATATATACACATATTAGATAATTATATATTATGATCTGTGTAATATGTATTATGGACCAGTTGATTCATCAGTTTGTGGGGGTGGAGTGGTTGCTACCATAGAACTTCAAGTACGAATTATCTTTATGCATGTCAATGTGTATTAGTTTATCTTTTTTAGCTGGTTTTCATGTAGACTAATTTTTTTCTATTTTACTTTTTTTTTTCTATTTTAACTTTCTACAAGAATGGCAACCCCCAGAATCCTTATTGTGATGGCATCGAAGGGGTCATGGAAGCTTATTATAGGAGCCTGAAATCTGTGCAGCTGTACGGGCCAACCAACTTTGCTCCTGTAATAAACCACGTAGCAAGGTGAGGAGAGCAGGAAACGTGTCTGTGCTAGTGCAGACGTACTGGATCGCGCTGAAACTACCCCATCAGTGCATCACAGTCCCATGATCAAGATGCTTTCTTCTCATTGTCTCCAGAAAGCTAGGAAGTAGGTGTGGGGTGGTTGCCACCAAGCAATCAGCAATACTTTACAGAGTCCTTTACGTCAGTTTCAAATGAAGAAGCTTGCAAGCACCTGGTTATTTGGGGAACCTGTCCTTTCCAACCTAGAAAGTGTTTTCTTTGAAGGAAACATGTGAGCACAAACAAGATTGATGGCATTCTGAAAATGTCTAAGTCATTCATATCAATGCCGTGTCCTGTGGTGGCATAAAAATAACGAGACAATCCCATTAAGACAAGAAATTTCTTTCTGTGATATATAGGGCACACTCATTCACCCTCTGTCATGTTAATGTAGAAGCTAATTTTATACATTCCCAGAACTCTGCAGGTAAATAGTGCATAGCACTGAGAGAAGAATTTGCTTATGACTCAGACTGCACGTTCTAGGAAAAAAAAAGTTAAAACATAAAATTTATACGTATTGATGTTCACTAGTACATAATGAAGTAGATATCACTTTACAAATCTCTAAGGAATCTTGCTTAATGCTAGTGGAAAATCCTATAAAACTCTGTCGTAGTATGAAATTAGCAAGAAAGGGTCAGGTCCAGCACCTTTTAGGATGTACAAGTTAGAAACAGAAAATAGTGTGCATTCAATGTCAAAGACAATCTAACACCTCAGCTCTCTGAATAATCCATTGTTTTACCACCCTCTCTGTTGAATCTGACCAGAAAATCAGTGTGTTCTTCTTTGCATTACATGGTACGTGAAAATACACAAAAGTATCTTGGCAGTCAGGGCTGACCTCAGGATGACAAAGATGTACGAGGCCATTTCTCTATGGTGGCTCTTTGTCTTGGATTTCTCAAACACTTCCTTCTATAATGTCTACTAAAGTAAGAATTCTGTGTCTCACCCTTATTTGAAAATAACAACAAACACTGGTTTTTGATGAAACGGCTGTTAATTTTGCCTCCTTTTCTCTCTGTTTCTCTATGGTGTGCTATTTTCTTCTGTTCCCAAGTCATTCGTTTCAGAATCAACCATTTGGTCATTATTTATAATTTGAAAATCATATTGACTTTCTAAGTTGCCTATAGGAGAAATGTTTCATTTTAAATCATTCTAATTTATTGTTGCCTGCCAAGAAGAACAGGCTCAAAACTGTATTAATGAAAAATAATTTTAATTAATTCCTTAACACTACCCCACACATCAGTTGTTAATAAAAGATACATAGAAGAAAAATGACAGGATCTATTTTATATGGATCCATGCCCATTGTTATAAATATGCTAATTAGTACTTATAAATCAGTTCTTTAATTTTGCCCTAGTATTATAAAAGTTAAATTTAGATGGAAAATTTTATATGCTTCTCTACTTCTATTTAAACCATAGTATTGGACTGGGGAAATGGAAAGTGCTTATTATTCATGTATGTAGACCTGAGTTCTAATCTCTACAACCCAGACTTGGTGATTCATATCTGCAGCCCCAGTGCTAAGGGTAGGAAGGAAAGACAAACAGATGCCTGGAGTTCATGGGCCAACATCCTAACTGAACCAATAAACTCTACTCTCAGTGAGAGATTCTGTCTCAAAAAATAAATGCAGGAAGGGATTGAAAACGAAAGTTGACCTAATCCATGGCCTCCAAGTCACTTCCATGAGTGAACACACCTACATTCACACATATACCATACACACGCAGAGCAAAATGAAATAGAGTGATAAAATAGTACATTTACAGTCATCTCTATGCTCAACACTTTCCAAATCTCAGGTATAGCAGTCACTGTTAGCTAAAGCTTTCATATCCCTATTATACTTAAAATGAGAGAAAAGAGTCAGAGCTGGATTTTTATCACTCATCTTTCTCTCTAGGACAGTAGGACATTCAAGCTGACCACATTTTAATATAAATATCTGAAATAAATGTTTTTTTTTTTCATTTTCTTTATTTTTAAAATGATGTTTAATTTAGTTTTAACGTTTTATTAGGATAGGCAAATTCTGGCTCACCTAAAATCATTGTCCTAAAACTTCATCTGCTCAAAGACAATACTATTTGTTTCTTTGTTCAAGGCGTCAGCATAGTTAACAGGTGCGTCAGCTCTGGTTATGTAAAGTTTCTTGAATATGTTTTCTCTGGTGAATGCACTTCACCAGAGGCAGACAGCACTGCCTCCCATATGGGAAACCAACACTCAGCATGTATTGACTTGAGGCAGGCATGGACTCAGTTGCTAGAGAGCTTGTTCCATAAACTGAGTACATGCATGTAATCTCGGCACTCATGAGGGGAAGCAATAGCTTGAAAGTTTAATGTCATCCTCGGGTGCATAGCAAGTTTGAGGCCATCTGAGATACCTTACACCATATTTCGAAGAAAAGGTTTCTACAAACTAAATTCTGATATGCTAATAGCAGATGTCCCAATTAATACCTACCTGTACTTAAGTTAGAGCAAGTACATATCCGTATTTGTCTGTTTCCTTGTTTTACCCTTATAGAGAGTTTCCTGTATGAGTGAAAACCGAACTGTTTATTATAATGTCTATGAGCATTTTAAATTTATTTTAATGTCTTTCAAAAAGCAGTTTTGTGCACAAGATCGTTTTTGACTGATTTCTACGTATCCAATTGGCTTTGAGATAATAATAATGGGTTGGCAGTAAATACAAAATAGATAAAACACAAAGTATCAAATTTACAGCATTTGTGGTTCTGTGTTCGTTTGGAGACTTCACACACCCTTTTTGCAGTCTCTTGCATGCCCAGCGATTTTCATTCCATATGGTTCAGGGAATGCCTCAAACACTAGAAAAACGCTGTTCAGCATCTGTTGGTGCCCTCTGTAGATCTTAACAGGAGCAGCATAGCCTGGCTTCAGGAGTTTCCTGTGTCCAGCTCCCATCCCACTAATCTAGCCAGGCTCCCCTGACGGAGAACTACTCAGTTGCTTTGGGTCCGCCAGGCCCTTCTCCACACCCATTTAGAGCGAATACCAGTGCAACCCTGGTCCATTTTCCATTTGGCACTTTTCTTTCTGTTTGTTTGTTTGTTTGTTTGTTTGTTTGTTTTTAATGTTGAGAACACTGCAGGATCTGAAAAACAGTTAAAATTAGTTTTAATTTGTTAGAAACTGACATTTCTATTTTGGAGTGTCTGTAATTAATTTCAAAATCATTTGAAGAGTTCGTTGCGTTTGCCCTCCTCCATCTGTGTGAACGGTCGGTGAAATCATAACAAGAATCGTTACTGAGGCTATGACATTGCTGGCAGTCCCCTCTGTGCTGTAGCAAGGGTTCTTGTTCTTCACAGTAGTTCCATGAGCTACCAGCACTGCCATTATTGTCATTTTTTTTTTTTTTTGGCAGATGCAACACACATGTGGATAGTGACATTTACATGAATAGCTCCCCACTCTTGCAGGGTTTCTTGCTCACCTCATCGCACAGTTTGAGGTGGCAAATTCCTAACACAGGATTCTCTTATCTTTGTGATGAAATGTTTAAATGTGTGTGCTCTTTACTGAATCTTAAGAAGATGCACACTCCATTGTAAAAAAAAAAAAAAAAAATGATAATCTATTTATTTAAATGACACGTTCCTGAGTCATTTTCTTATCTTTTATCCATACCTTCTTTGTTACTGTTGAACCAATGGAATTCTAGAAGAATACTTCACAAATCTGAGTGAGCCATTTGTGAACTTTGATGTAAAATGTGCGGGGAACCAGAAAAGAAACTACAGAAGAATATATTTAAATTCTGCAACTCTGACAAAATTAATTTTTCTCTCAGATTTATCATAGTAATATTAACATATAAATTATAGATTTGCTATATTCCAGAATAGGTAGTGATATGGCTTTTAATAAGAGTTTTAATTATACAGTTCACTGAAGGTTCCATTAAGAAGGAAACTTCTGTAATATAATTTGATCTGCAAGCCTGTGTCTTGTCACTTCCTGAAAGGAACCTGGAATGTGGCCTGCCAGAAACTTTCCACTTGATCCTCCTGGGACTTATTAATTATTTTCATTATAAGCACTTAATACTTTTACAAATAGGCTAAATTAAAAGAAATAGTAGTATGAGATTGATTTTGTCTGAAATTTAGATTTACTCTCCAAATAAATGGTGCAATTATGGAGTAAATAACACAGAAGTCTCAATTAAAGCATTAATTTTCAGTTCATATTGTAATTAAGCACTTGACTAGAGTGGTCAGCTCTTATGTAAAATGTAATTTATAATAATTTTAAGTACATCAAGCCTTACAAACATACACATACTTTTATACCATTAATTATAAAGCATTATTAAAAATTCTAAGTATTGCAAACTGCTAGCTAGGTTTCTATGAATTTTTTAAAAAACCACAGAGAAAGTTTAGGTTTGTTGTAATCTGCTTCAGTTTCTTTCCCCCTCTCTACACACTGTGAACAGAGCCTGCCAACTGAGGAGCGAGATCAAGCCTACAAAGCCATTCAAAGCGGGAGTTTATACTCCTAAAACTCAGCTTCTGTAATGTGCTGTGATGCTTCCATTTTCAGCAGCTTTGATTCGTCTGAAATAGCACGAAAGCAACGCCAGCGTGCTGCTAGAGGCTTTCCTCTTACTATTTTCGGTCTTATATTAGTCACACAAAATATAAAACTCTGCATTGAATTATATTCAGTAATAGGTCCTTTTCTCTTTCTTTCTTCTTTTTTAATAAACGACTGTTCAGATATTACAAACCGAACTCCAGCTAGAAACTGTAAGATTGTTTTTTTTTTTTTTTTTAAAGTGAAAGGATAATGGGTTCCTCTGCTTGGGCTTGTTCCCTATTGATTGTGTTGCTGCCACATTCATGTGGATTCCTTGGTGTTTAGGGTCTGTTGCTCTGTGGTGTCGCTGCGGAAATGATTCAACAGTCTTTTCCACAAGTGTAGGTGAATGAGCCGTGTCAACATCCATCTTATAAATAGCAAAAGTATATACTAGATTCTTTGTACCTAAGAAACTTGCAAATACTTTATCCATATGATTTCAAAATCTACTGCAATATAACATATTGTTTGTATCCAAGCTGTTCAAACAGGATCAGTTAGAGCTCTTCATCACTGTATCAATTTCTTTGCCTACTCAATATAAGTTTTTAAATATTTTTTTTTTCTGTGGTCTGGTTGATTTTTTTTTTTTTTTTTTTTTTGAGATGCAGGTCAATGCCTTCTTATTTCCTTCCCTGTCTCTTACAAGCTGTGTAAGACTCACTCTGGACTGAACTAGCTCATGTGGTCAGTTCTAGGCCAGTGAGAAACCCAGCACATGTGCTAATATGCACAGTTACAAACACACACACACACACATACACATTCTATGAACATGCATGTGCACATACACGGACACTCAGAACTGTGCATACATCTTCTATTTGATTTTTTATGAGGTGAAGGCTGTGCAACTCACAGCAGGATTGTATCAGTATGTACATGTCAGGGGCACTTCCTAAATTCACAGTGCTGTGCGCCGCGGCCTCTGTGCAGATCCTAAGTAAGAATAATTTAATCATTGCTTAACTTACAGAATGCCATTATCTAGTGAGTACCACGCATATAATTTATTCAAATAATAACACAAAGATAAATATTGCTGGGACAATTTTCAAAAAAAAATCAAGTTCTGGTGATTTAAATAATTTTTGAGGAGCTTAAACATAATAAATTGCTGTCTGGACAGGTCTTTTTAAAAACCTATAGCCAAATTTTACTTTTTCCAAAAAAAAAAAAAATCTTCATTCTGGTAAATTTCATTAGTGAAAACAATTCCAAGGCAGCTAAATATTTCTGTGTCCTGCCAGGCACTAACGCTGCAGTTCATCTGGTTGATTATTTCAGAGAACTATATACTTAGATTTGTTTATCAGAGGCTCCTGGCATATGCACAAATACTTCCTCGATATTAGAAGTCTGGCTGGCCATGCCACACACATCTGCAGTTCCTCCTGCTCCACGTGCTGTTTTAACTTCCGACTGTTTTTCAGGTATGCGTCCTCCGTAAAAGACGGCTCCCAGTATTTTGTGCTCCTCATTGTGACAGACGGCGTGATCTCAGATATGGCTCAAACTAAAGAATCCATAGTTAACGTAAGTACGTCTAGGGTCTCCTGCTCCATGACAGTAAAGTACCGGCTACGTTGAAAACAAAATCTATTTTAGGTGACTTCATGGAGAAACAGATTGGTCACTTCATTGCATTCATCCATTCATCCAGAAACTGTCACACATTTATACTGATAGGGGAGGTCCTCCTCTCCTACTGTCTGACCCTAGCCTAGCAGGTCTCATCAGGACTGGCTGCATTGTCCTCCTCTGTGGCCTGGTAAGGCTGAACCCCCTAAGGGGAAGGTGATCAAAGAACCAGTCACTGAGTTCATGTCAGAGACAGCCCCTGCTCCCCTTACTAGGGAACCCACATGGAGACTGAGCTGCCTATGATCTACATCTGAGCAAGGGGTCTAGGTACTTTCCATGTTTTGTCCTTAGTTGGTGTATCAGTCTCTGCAGGCTTCTCAGGGTCCGGATTTTTTGGTTCTGTTGGTCTCTAGGAAAGATGCGTAATCATCATTCAGAAGGGATAACAACAGTATGGACATCTAAAATGGGAGAAGACGGGGAACAGGACAGGAGCCCACCACAGACAGCCTCTGAAAGACTACCCAGCAGGGTATCAAGGCAGATGCTGAGACTCATAGCCAAACTTTAGGCAGAGCAGAGGGAATCATGATTAAGACTAGGACCTCTCATGTCCTAACATTTCAGTTCCCTGAGAATGCCAATCAGTCTCTACTTCCACAGTTGCTTAAAGCCATCCTGTGCATTATAATACCTGTTGTATATTTTACTTGTTGATGATTTAATTTTTTTTTCTTTTGAACGCTAGCTATAAAAATCTATGCTTATCAGATGATGGTCTGCTAAATTATACCTGTTTACCTACTTTTTCTATGCCTAAGATTGGCATTGTTTGGCGTAGAAAATGAACTGAATAGATGGGTTATTTGTCAGGCCTCACGACTTTAGTGACAGAAATATATTGTTAGTTATTTAGTGTGAGAAAAAAATAAGTATATGTAGGGAATAACTCAGTGGCTCATATTATTTTCTCTTGTGGACAACACAATTTCTTTATATATATTCTGTTTTTACCCACATTTACTTACATTGGATTTCTGTTTCCTTTCTAGTTAGTGCTATTAGTTTACACTTTAACATACTGATTTAATAATTCATGATTAACTGAGCGGAGAGACTGCACTAAGAAAGAGGTTTTTGTAGTTTATCAACTTCCCATTGTAAGATGGTCTCCCTGTGAACGTTGTGCGTCTGTCACTGATTCTAACTGTTGAATTTTTTTTAATTCATATGTATTTATTTGTGTATATGTGTATGTGTGTAGACAGGCAAGTTGAGGCTGGCAGCCAGGTACTCAAGTGTACCGTCTCTCATGTCTTCTCTGTAACCTGAGAATGACCAGCCTCAGCTGGATTGACCCAGGCCCTGTAGCTGGGCAGTGGTTCTGATCAGGCAGACTGCAGTGCCTGCACCAACACACTTGAAAGATGAGTTAGAAGCAGAATCTTCTAGGGCTGGCCAGCAGTTGATGCTCTTCTGCTAAGCCCCTGAGCCTCAGGTGGCCTTAGGCTGAACAGAGGCATAGGCCTGTGGTAATGTCCCTCCAAGTGCTTCTGAGAGTGCTGTGGTACTCATGTCACCCTAGGATACTACTAAGACACCTTGCTTGTATGAGAACCATGTGCGGTTTTCAGTTCTCATTGATAGTCTATCTCCATAGAGGCTCTTTGCCAACAGAAATGACTGGATATTAAAATTGGATCTGGAATGTCAGATTTACCCAGTTAATGCCAGGGCGAATGTACTTCATAGGAGTGAGTCCCACCCTGGCCAGTGACAGGCTCCTGGGTGTCCTGAGCAGGAATGAAGACAGACCCTGAGCATGAGGAACAATTTTGTCTGATAATACTCAGTCTCATTTTTCAAGAAGTTTGGCAAAAATCATTGTCCACATCAATGGCTACCTTTCAGTGAAACAGAGTGCAAACAGTGGCCTAAAGATGGGAATGGTTTGCAAGTTGCCAAAGGTGTTGGCAGTGTGCATACCGTTTCTTCCTTGTGATGGGGATGGGAGTACAGATGAATTCACTCTGTCCTCAGCATTGAGAACTAAATGTCTTAATTGAAATCTAATTTTGTTTTTTCTTCCTAAAGGCCTCGAAGCTTCCAATGTCAATCATTATAGTAGGTGTTGGACCCGCAGAATTTGATGGTGAGTAGCAAGATCTCAGTGGAGTTGCGGTGCTATTACATTTCCATCAGCCTTAACTGTGTAAAGAGAGTGATGGAGTTTGTAAAACACTGTCATTGAGTAAGACACCTCCCTCTAGCTTGTACATTAATTAAACACGCACCTTTGACATTTCCTCACGGTTGGTACCTTGTAACACTGTGTAAGACTGACAGAGTAATAAATTGAGATTTGATTCCTAAGGCAAAGAACGCTTTAAGGAAGCACACTTTTTGCAGGGAAAAGTGTCGACAGCCTTTAAGGAACAGTGCTAAATTAATGAATCATTAAGTTGTGAGCGGAAATATTAACATAAGCATGAAATGCTAATTGAATGTGATTCCAGCCTCTGGTTAGTTGATAGAATTATCCTTATAAACCAAGAACTCTGTCATGTGAAAGAACAAAATTCAGTGACAGTTGAACTGATCTGAATAATTGATGACTTGACTGGCTAACTATGGTCTGGCCTCTCCAAAGACCAGTTAAGGAACAGCTTTTCATGTAATAATGGCCCGAGTGAACTTCTTTAAGGATGGTTTGTTACTGGTCACCTGGCTAATTTTGTTTTAGTGGATGCCTCTGATCTGCAATTGAGAGGCAGGCAACGTCATTATCTACACAGTTACTAACAGTGGCCATTTATTTAGCTTGACACTGGTCCTCCCTGTTTCTTAAGCCAAGGTCTTTTAGTCCTGACTACTGCTGCTTTTGCTACTATTTTCTCTGGTCATTTACATCTGTTCAGCTGTGTCCTTAAGCTGCCTCCTTAGAGTTGCAAATGCTAAGACATCTTCTCACTTTGGCTCATGGTTATCTGCATTGGTTACAGGTGACAGATTGTGGTTCCCAAAATCCACCCACTGCAGGCTAAAATAGCTCACACAATCTCCCTGCTGCTTTTTCCTCTAAGGGTTTATCACTCATGAGTACAGTGCAGTCTGCCAGGCCTGGTGGGTTCACATTAGTCAGTTTTTGTTTTGTAAGAACCCATTACATGACAGAAGAGTGCAAAACCACTGGCCCTTGCCGGTGCAGATTTCTGTCTCTGTCCTTTCATGTAGACCGCACACAATACTTGGGTACAACTCTCACCCCAAATCCAAGGCTACTTATTTTCTCTGTTTTTTCCCAGTGAATTGGTAGAGGGCTGAGAAATGGTAATTCATCATTTCTCACCTAGACGTCCAGAACTAACTGAGGGAAAATAATTCATCAGATGAAGATATCAGTTTTATTACCAGGAGTACAGTAAAGAATATACTTTAACCTGTGGATGGGGCCAGACTTTGCATTTCTTGACGGCCCCGACTCGTTTCCTAAACTTCCCTGATGAGTCTCCTTGGACAATAAACTTCCCTGAAACATGTCTTCACTCTGAGACCAGCTGCTCCTGCTTTGAGAGGCGGATGCCTCCTGGAGTCCAGCACCATTCTATGGAGTGGACACGCTGCTGCGAGGAAGTATGAGTGAAGGGTGTAGACAGAAAGGGAACCTGGCTTCCAAGTAGATTCCCCCAACTCTTAAAACTCGGAGTTCCCATTATTCTCGGGAAAATATAAGTATGGACTTAGGCTCCTGCAACTCCTAGTTTCTATTTTTACCATGGCAGAAGTTTCAATGAGATAGAGATGGTTTCCTGGTCCACTGTTTTTAAAAAGGCTGATTATTTGGCTAGGATACAATGAATTCTTCTTTAACCTACATATATACATACATACATGCATACATATGTTATACATACATATATACAGGTGTATAATACATATACATGTATAAACACAGACACACACTTATATATATATATATATATATATATATATATATATAGAGAGAGAGAGAGAGAGAGAGAGAGAGAGAAAGAGAGAGAGAGAAAGTTATTCTATCAAATCTGCTTTTTCCCTTAACTCCATGGCTAAGAAGCAAAGGAAATTGCTGGTGGATGAGATAGAAAAATCTCTGCCATTCAAATTGCTGTTCTGCTGTCAAAAGTTCGCTTTTAACTCTTCCAAAAAAAATAATAAAACAAGAAAACTTAATGCAGCAGCTACTTTGATGCAAGCTGGAGAGAAGAGATGTAAGTTAGCCATTCACCCTATCTCCTATAGCGAGAGAGAGGCACAGGCTTATCCTTTCAGGGCATAATCTCTGCCCTGTGGATCAGACAGGCAGAAAACCTGAAGTGTGGGTGTGGCTCCTCCATCATTATCATCTTGCTTCTATTGCTCTCAAAAGCTCACGCTGTCTGCAACCTTTAATCTTTAAGCACGCTGAAGAGTGGAAGGTAACCTCTTTAATATGCAAGATTACTCATTTTCTTCCTGGATGACAATGAGGCAATAGAGATTGGAGAGGATAATAAAAGCAAGGTCTCTGTTGCCTTCTGAGTCTTGTTCCCATTTTAGAGTGCGTGTAGGGGAATTGTTGCAAATTATGAGCATAGCGGAGAGTACAGCATACCACCAGCAATGTGCAATTAAATGCTGAAGTAATATGAAAATTGTAAAAGCAAGCACAGATGATAACAGGAGTTATTTGTTTCAAATATGTGAGCATAACATTTACAGCCCCAGGAATAAGGTACTGGCCCTATTGTTGGTAGATCATACATTCTATAAAATTCTGGCATATATTATACGTACAGGCAAGTCTGCTAATCATATTTACTAGTAATGCTTCAGCCAAAACATTGACTCATGAACATAGGTAGAAAGATAAATTTGAAAGCAATGTCTTCCAACCCAAATTCATTACAGACACTGAAGAAAAGAATGCAAGGTGGAGGATGGTGTTCCCGTGAGCACTGCTTTACATTTCGGGGCCTCTTTGGAGTTTGTAGATTGTCCTGTGTGTGCAAAATGACTTTTCTGTAACTGAATTACACGCTAAGCACAAGCCAGATCACTCATACAATTAATTACTTAGATAATTCTCACAGCAAACTTAATAAACTCTGGGATATGTTTCTAATCGCAGCATCAGACATCAGCAGCTGCTCTGTTTGGACAGTATTTCCGAATACCAGCTGTTGCAGCCAATGCTGAAATTATTTCTTAACTAGCAGAATTATCATGCATCACAAAAACCATACTTTATTCAGGACTGAATAAATATCACTTTGTTTTGCAATGAACTGTAAAGCAAAACTTGGGATGATGTGTGGACCTTGTAATGTCAGTAAGAATGAGGCTCAACCTGAAGGTGATAACTGTTGTTGTTTCATAAATTAGAAAGAAAAAGCTGAAAATCGGTGGGCTAACATCACATGCCCATTCTGCCACTTAAGGATATAACCCAGGTTTAAATCCTATAGGAAAGTGAACTGGGTGGAAAGACAAGCTCAGAGAATGCTCAACAATGCATTGACCTCATGAGAGGGGAAAGTCATTCTCATGGCTTTTTTTAGCTGTAGATGGTATAATCCATCAGGATGTTTGGGGAAAATGATTAAAGAATGGAGGTTGAAGCCCCTGTCTGTAACTACACAGGGTGTGTTCTTGCACACATATGTAGTGATTTCTTAGTTCACACTGTTTCATTTCACTGCATTATATTCAGTTAATGACTGCATTTCATTTTCAAGCAATGGTTGAATTGGATGGAGATGATGTAAGAGTTTCCTCCAGAGGGAAATACGCCGAAAGAGACATTGTACAGGTAAGGATTCAAATGAAATAAGCCTGTCTCCTCCATTGTGAAGCACCCATGGCTACATGATATATTAAAAAGCAACTTCAGTAGCAGTTAGGAGTGCTGAGTTCTGTTTATGTTTGTTGCTTCTTCTCTATCAGGCATAACTTAAGCAATAAAGGTTAGAATCTGTATGAAATTGCTTTATCCTCTCAGGTTCACTACAGGTAAAGGGCAAGTGTCAATAACTGTGTTTTCCTAATTTACTCTCATGAGAAATTATCATGATCTCTAGTAAAATTGGAGGCTATCACTATGTTAGTCTTCATGTAAATAAAACTTTTTAAAACATATGATACATACAAAAATAAACTTTAATAAAACATAAAAATTATACTATTGTCAGAGTTTCCACAGGTTAGGGTTGGAAATGTATGTTAGAACTATATATAATAAATAAGCTGTACATATATTTATTTATACCTGATTTATAAGTTATGAATTACCTATAAATTTTACTTATAGAAAATAAGTGAGAAAAAAATGCTTAGCTAAATGCTGCCTGCTATTTGGGGAGCAATAAAAAGAAAACAATTAGTTAAAAGTTGTCACTTAGAAAAGGGGTTAATTCAACCAAATCTATTCATGCTTTACTTGGAGTATGTATCACTCAAGACGCAAAAAGAGAAGAAAGTCTGTGACACATACCTTTTTAAGTACACAATACCCAAAGGTCTCAGTACCATTTAAGGACATGATATGCACATTTTAGGGGCACAAACAATGGGCATTGATATTTTCTCCAAATAATTTCCTGCATGCCTTCTCCTAATGTAACTACTGTAAATATATAATTTGGAATTTTACAGACTTGGGTTCAAATTCTAACTTTTGTTAACTTGGACAAAACTAACTTTCTATATTCTGAGCGATGAGGAGCCTTGTGGAGTAAAGTGAAAGAATCAACATAAAATATGTCCCTGATGTATTAGGGACATCAGTAGTAGCCAACAAAATGATTAGAATGATTTGGGGGGGAGGGGACGCCCTAAGTTGGTAGCTAAAAGGATCACGGTGTAGCTCTGTGGTATGTGCATGCTAAATGCTGTTGACTTTGCTCTCAAGCACAACAACAAAGAAATAATAATATTAAAACGGATTATAAATGACTCCTCCAAAAAACCACTGAAATTCCATTTTAACACAGAAACAATTTCACAATAATTTTCTAAAAGATAAATATATGTGATTTAATTTTTCTCTACAAGGCATAATGTCAAAAGCACCAACTTATGCAGCAAGTGAGGAAGTAAGCTGAGGAAGTGGCCATGGCGATGCTGTGTATCCTGGTGTTAATTTCCATAATTAGATGCATAATTATTCGCCTTAACCTCATCACCATAATTATGGGTTCAAGTAATCTCACTTTATCTCAAAGCTCCACATAATGTCCAGCCCACACTTTCCAAAAATCAAATTACTGAAAGGAAGCTCGTATGGAAAGGAATTCAAAATGTGCTCTGTTGCTATGACAATGCTTCTTTATAAAATCAAACAGGGGAATCTCATCGCTTGTTCCTTCCAAGTGAATGTTTAAGAGAAGCAACATAACATTACCCCTAACAAATCAAGGTTGCTCACATCACCAAGAGTTTTTACAGGACCATCATGCTATACTGTTATGAGAAAACCGTACCTCTTAACATTTATGAAAATAAGCACTTCCTTGTCTCTCAGTGGATGGACAGCATTGGGACATATACTGAGATTGGACCCAGAAGGTCCAGGAAGGCACAATCACTACACTCTCTTAGCCTCTTATATTGTTTGTAGTGTTTACGCTCTTTGCTTTGTTTTTCTCTGAGATTTTAGCAGGCAGTAAACTCTTTGTTACCCATTAGCTTAGGTTCATAACAAGTTCATTAAAGGAGGGGATTTGATATATTTTTCTAATTTCTCAGAAAAGTTCCAAAATTCACCCTTGCAAACTGTGAGGAGATTGGCCGTTTACCTTCCAGACACATGTATGTGTTGCTTCTCCCTTATCTCCTTGATTCTTGCCAGGGAACTGCCATCCAAGTTCCCCATGTTCTGATGAAATATTTGTAGATTAGGTGTTTATACGGAAGCATTCTCGAGTGTTGCAGACAGTAGGATAATATTGTGTATCTTCCATTGTTCAGGAAATATGTCTGGACAAGCTGGTAAAGTAGTGACAGAAAACCAAGTAAAGGCTGTATGGGCTCTAGTTTTCTTACAATCAGTTTCACTTTGAAGCTAATCAAGTTATTAAATGCATTGCTAATAAATCCCTATATGTCTCAGTTTGAAAAAAATGAGACCTGTATCTTATAGAACGTAGCTGAGGTTCAGCTGGTCCTTAAGGGACAGTAGGTTGGGTTTTTCTTTTGCTGTCAAGTAGTAAGCAGCTTCTGTAAATTTCACAGAATGATATTTGAGTCTATTCTATGTTCTGTATCTTAGACAAGAGAAGAGCATTCCACCATTGACCCCTTCATTAACAGCATGACAGACACTTGATTACTGTATTTTTAAAAAGTAAATCTCAGGACTGGAGAAATGGCTCACAGGTTAAGAACACTCACTGTTCTTCCAAAGGTCCTGAGTTCAATTCCCAGCAACCACATGGTGGCTCATAACCATGTATAGTAAGATCTGGTGTACAGGCAGAATGTTGTATAAATAATAAATAAATCTTTAAAAAAATGTAAATCTCAGTTCAGTTCCTCTTGCCCATAAGCCCCAGCTAATGATAAGTGAAAACTAGAAGGTAGATGCAGTCTTAGAATGTCTTAGGAAATTCTTTACATGCCATCTAGATCACTTAATCATCTCCACAACCTGACCCAATTTTCCTCTTTGGCTACACACACTCAAAAACATATTCTATCTGCCATTATAACACATGTTTTCATGGTGTTTACTTCTACTTTCCCTTATCATCTACCTGACTCACATTTCACTGGTGTGGGCAGAAGTCCTCTGTCTTGGAATGTGTTCCTTCCCTTTTTATTTTTTTTTAAATTATATTTTTATTGTTTTATACTGATTACAGTTTATTCACCTTGTATCCCAGCTTTGGCCCCCTCTCTCATCTCCTCCCCTTCCCCTTTCAAAGCCCACTGATAGTGGAGGTCCTCCTCCCCTTCCATCTGACCCTATCTTATCAGGTCTCATCAGGACTGGCTACATTGTCCTCCACTGTGGCCTGGTAAGGCTACTCCCCCCTCGGGGGGAGGAGTGGTCAAAGAGCCCACCACTGAGTTCATATCAGAGACAGTCCCTGTTCCCCTTACTAGGGAACCCACTTGGATACTAAGCTGCCATGGGATACATCTGAACAGGGTTATATCCATGAATGGTCCTTGGTTGGAGTATCAGTCTCAGAAAAAAAAAAAAAAAAAAAACCTGTGCCCACAAGGAATTTATGAAATTTGCAGGCAAATGGTGGGATCTAGAAAAGATCGTCCTGAGTGAGGTATCCCAGAAGCAGAAAGACACACACAGTATATACTCACTTATAAGTGGATGCTAGACATAGAATATAAGATAAACATACTAAAATCTGTACACTTAAAGAAGCTAAGCAAGAAGGAGGTCCCTGGGTAAGATGATCAATCCTCACTCAGAAAGACAAATGAGATGGACATTGAAAGAAGGAGAAAACAGGAAACAGGACAGGAGCCTACCACAGAGGGCTTCTGAAAGACTCTTCCCAGCAGTGTATCAAAGCAAATGCTGAGACTCTTAACCAAACTTTGGGTAGAGTGTAGGGAATCCTAGGAAAGAAGGGGAAGATAGTGGGACCTAGAGAGGACAGGAGCTCCACAAGGAGAGCAACAAAACCTTTCCTTTTTCTTTAACTCTATTCCTTTACATAAAAAAAACAGCTGAGATCCAAGATGCAGAGGTAAATAAGTCACACAGAGCTATTGTGACTATAAATCCAGTTCTGATTCCAAAACTTACCTTCTATGAGAGTACGCCTCTCTCCTGATGTAAAATTCTAAAGGTTGTCAGAATGTAGCCATTTTTCCACATAACTATAGAATCTGACATGTCAGAGTCAGGTAAATAACGACCGGCACTGGCCCTTATTTGGACTTGCTAAGTTAAACTTTCTGAGCTTCAGTTTATAGTGTAGCAAATAATAAATAGGTGTGTTGGGCTATTTAATATTTACTGTTAGCCTTAATATTATCATAGCAGTATTATTTAACCTGTTATCACTAATAATAAGACATGGACACCTGTTAGATTTTATAATTGCCTTATTTACCTTGGGCCAGATAGATATTTCACCTATACTGTCTCAATAACCCCACCATCCATCTCCCAGCCCCCATCCAATGCCATGCACCTTAATCCTCCTCATCTGGTCTACCTTCCATCCATAATCCCAGGGAACTTGCTTGTATTCTTCATCTGGGGCTTTTCATGCCATTATTGGAGGCCTTCCACTTGGCCCACATAGTTTTATCTCCACACTAACCCATTATGGCTTCCTCCTTCCTCCTCTCTTCTTGTCCATCTGTTTCTCTTGCTTTTCCTGTCCTTTCCAAGCCTGGGAACCTTAGCCATGCCTCCCCATTCTGCCATGTCCAGGTATAGACTGTTTAATCAACCTATCAGGTATGTCTTAGGCAGGTTTACAAAACAAGGGTAGATGTAACCAGATCTTGAGGGCCAGTAACACACATCAGACCAGCCTCTAACAAGTTTCCTCTTAGGTCAAATCGAAATAAAGGATAGAATACCTATGACATTAAAGAAGATACTGTGTTTACTCCCTTAGCAGAAAACCTCCTATATTGTTCGGTACCAGGGTATTAATATCAGAGCAGGCAGTTGTCAGTTACCATGCTGGCACCATCTGATGGGAGGGCATTTTGCACATCTTTATTTTATAGTAGGTGTACCTTGATTTGACCACCTTATATAAGATTATGTCCCATGGCCTAAAGAGTCCATCTTGCATTTACAGTGAGCGAGGTGCGTTCTTATGGTGTTTACTTTCTTAGATCAGTACATTTAAAGTGTTTTGGTTTGTTGTGCTTTGGATTGACCATTGCATTTAATGCAATGCCATTCTTCCTGGCTGCATGCAGCTGCTAGACAGCCTATCATTTCCTTTAAAATTACATTTAAATTATATTTTCCATTAGAAGGAGAATAATAGCCTTGAAATCTTAGACTTGAATACTCACTAATGGAGTTCAGCACAGTAGGAACAATCAAACACAATTGAGTGAACAGCAACTAAAAGCCAATCTGCCCAAACACATTCAAATTTGTTTTCATAACTAGGCAAAACCATCCATCAGGGCAGCCATGAACGATGTTCCTTTGCACAAGAGTTTGGGGAATGAGTTGAAAGAAGATGTGGAGTACCACATATGCCATGTTTTCTACAGAGCAAAATATATCCACTCTATCTGATGTATGAATATGTGAAATCAGTGCACTGTGAATGGCGCTGTCTTCTTCTTAACGTGGCTGTTTAAGAGTTTGAGTTCACCTTGTGAAACTCCTGTCTCCTCCAGTTCTTTCATCTCCCCCTTCTTCCATAAGATAGATTCCCTGTGGGGAGCAGGACAGAAGCCTATCACAGAGGGCCTCTGAAAGACTCTAACCGGCAGGGTATCAAAGCAGATGCTGAGATTCATAGCCAAACTTTGGGCAGAGTGCAGAGAATCTTATAAAAGAAGGGGAGATAGAAAGACCTGGAGGGAACAGGAGCTCCACAAGGAGAGCAACAGAACCAAAAAATCTGAGCACAGGGGTCTTTTCTGAGACTGATACGCCAACCAAGAACCATGCATGGAGACAACCTGGAATCCCTGCTCAGATGTAGCCTATGGTAGCTGAGTCTCCAAGTGAGTACCCTAGTAAGGGGAACAAGGACTATCTCTGACATGAGCTCAGTGGCTGGTTCTTTGATCACCTCTCCCTGAGGGGGAAGCAGCCTTACCAGGCCACAGAGGAAGACAATGCAGACAGTCTTGATGAGATCTGATAGGCTAGGGTCAGAGGGAAGGAGAGAAGGAACTCCCCTATCAGTGTACTTGGGGAGGGGCATGAAAGGATAAGAGGGAGGGAGGGCAGGATTGGGAGGGGAAGAGCAAGGGGGCTACAACTGGGATACAAAGTAAAGACATTGTAATGAATAAATAAATAACAACAAAACAAAATAAAAAAGAGTTGAGTTCAGTGATGACACTGTACCTTCACCATGTGTGAGGATTGTTTTTTGCTTTTTTTTTTAACCAAATGTCCCTAGCTGCAGAACTTGAAACTAAGAAAAGAGAGGGTGATCCAAGTGGTAAAATGTCAGGGTAGGAGGACATTTTGTCTTGAGAACTGTCAAGCTGATGTAATAAGAGGTAATGAGAGTGGAGAGGTGTTGGCATTTCCCCATTTGTTGATTCCGTACCTGGTGGCAGGACTGAAAAACAAGTGCCCCTCAGGAAAAAATTTACATAACTCCAGATTATCGAGTAGTAAGTTCACAACTTTTTTTTTTCTACTCTTGGCATACTTCTGTGATAAGTAAACCTGTTGGTAACAATAAGACATTCTCTGGCTGGGTTCTCAACTTGGACCCAGGTGGCATATCAAATTGTGTGGCTGTCTAACAAATTTAAGTTAGATATGATGAATACTCCCTCAGGGGATAAAAGTCCTAGGTTTATTTTGTTGTTGTGTTATTCATTATTTATAAACAGGCTTAGAAGAAGAGAACTCTGGGTATTGTGACTCTAATTCTCATACCTCTATAATATAACAAAATTCTCACATATTATGATTTATTTCAACTAATAAAGTCTACGTCAGAACTATCTTTTTTCTGTCTCTCATTAGAAAAATAAACAGGCTTCTAAGGGACTATACTATACTCTGGTATACGATACAACAGAAACAAAGACATTGGACAAACAAGCTGAAGAAAAGAGCCCAAGGAAATACACAGGAAATAGATATTGATACAGAGACCCGTTTGTTAGCACACTCAGGAATCCCATAAAAATACAAAACTTGAAGCCAAAATATATACAGAAAGGGCCTGTAGGGTAATTCATATGCCTGTAATATATATTATACAGATAATAAAAAAGAAAAATTAAGAGAAAAAATCTCTAACATTACATTATGAGACAAATAACCACAAAAATGCCTTTGAGTTCGTTTTCTGTCTACCACTGGGCATGCAGCCTGACCTTAAGAGTAGTTTGCTTCCCCTAAGAATCCCTTGGAGAAAACAAAATTTTCATTTGCAAGTGGTTTTCAGTTGAGGACAGCTTCTAGGTTAAGAATGGAAGCATTTTTCCACTTCCTTCTGCTCTAGGATGCCACCTGGCTACAGACCCATGCAAGCCTTGTGCATACTTCCTCAGCCTCTGTGAGTCCATATGAAGAGAGGTTGGGAGGAACTGGGAGGAGGAAACAGTAATCAGGATACATTATATGAAAAAAATACATTTTCAATAAAATAATAATAATGATGCCAATAAAGCATGCGGTGCATTGAGTTACACAGAGATCTACATGCATAAAAACGTTCATGCTAACAAAAATGTCTTTTTATCTTCAAAATGAAAGAACAAAAGAAAGCATAAGCCTATCTTACAGTGCTTGCTTAAAAGGTTTAAAAAGGTTTTTTAAAAAAATAAAAATTAAATTCTTTGAATTGTTTACTTAGATTGAATGGGAGGAAAAAAACAAACGGTGCTTAACTTGTGACTTTGCACCTCTAGGTTTTTGTTACCCAATGTCATCTTGCCTCTTGTGAAGTAAGCAGGCTTCACAAAGTTCACGCTCTCCCCTTTCCCTTCTCACCTGAAGACTGTACACACTGAGCTTTCTCCTGCCCTGGCTCAGCAGCCTTCAGGGCTGAGCAACCCCTTCATCTATTGCATGTCTGAAAGCTGAAGAAGAGGCTTTAGAAGAATGTAGCAAAACCAGACTGCCTTCACTACATCAAAATTACACCTGCTATTTAGTTTTCTATATTCTTTAACTCATTTTCCCTGTCGCAACCAGATTGTTTTAAGTGTACAAATAACAGTTTTTTTCTTAAGGCAAATGTTGACTAATGGCTTCCATCAAAAGCAAGTTTTCAGATTACATTTGTCACAGTTATATTACAATATGAAAATGGAATGTTCTTGGTCTTTCTGAAAGAAAAACATTAATATAAACTTTCAAATCCTATATTCTGAAATTATTCTACATCTTAATGTTTTTCCTCTTTTTTTTCCTCTCAAGGCCAAAGATTAATGTCTCATAAACTATCCACATATCCCTAATGATTTCAGTCATTTCCAAGTTGCTTCAAGAATCATACCTTACAGAGAAATTGAATTGGTATACTCAGCAGTACTATGTTTATTAACTAAGTAATGGTTCCAAATAAGAATGGACCCAGGCAATCCCTCATCAGAGCACATGGTGCAGCGCTGATAAGGGCTGCTATGTAATTGCTAGATCAAAGAGAAGCAATGACATTTAGATATGAAAACAATTATAACATTTCAGTAAGAACGATTCCAGCATCTCGCGCTGGGATCTTTGCTTTCACAAATAACAGATTTATACCATCAACATAACAGCATACTGCCTTTGTGTATTCAATAGCCACAATGTGATGTTCTCATAACAATTAAAAATAACATGTTTAGGAGTCATTAATCGTGTGTGCTGCTTTCTGTGCTGAATGGTATAAGACTTGTCCCATGCTCTGCATTAGCTAACTTTTATATCAAAACTGAATTAACACGTACTAGCCCATTTTGACAAGAAAGATAAGAACCATAGAGGTGAAATGCCCCCCGAATGCTGGGCATCAGCTAAGTAATACCCCAAAACAGGGTACAAGTATAAAAAGGAAGAGAATCACTGCCCCTTTGCTGAACACACATTATGAAGATCTGATTGCTGAAACAGTCAGCTGTAGTAACAAATGTATTTTAAAGATAGGATTTGTATTGATCAGACTGTTACTCTGGGCATTTGTGGTTCTCCTGTTGCTGAAACAAAATACCCAGACAGAAAGCAAGTATTGGGAGGAGAAGGTTTACTTGGGTTATGCTTTCAGGGCATTTCCATTGCTGATAGAAGTCAGGCCAGGAATCAGGGGCCTAAAGCAGATCTCATGCCTGCCAGCTCAGATCATGGCTTCCTTAGCTAGCTTTCTTGTATAGCCTAGGAGTGGAACTGCCCCTAAGGGGAGGGGACCTTTCATATCAATCATCAGTTAGAAAATTCCTTTACAGACACAGCTGAGAGCCAATCTTATTTGGGTAATCCCTCATTTGAGACTCCCTCAGGTGGCTCTAGGTTGAGTCAAGTTGACAGCTGAAACGAACTAGGACACTCCTACAGTCAGTTGCTTGAATTTAAGCCAGGCTTAGGGGTGCACAACTAAAATCCCAATACTGGAAGGGAGGAGGGTCACACGTTTAAGCCATATAAGGCTATATAGTATGATCCTGTCTCAAAAATCATCCATAGAACTAAAAGAAAAATAAACTATCTGTGCATGCTGATTTTGTATCTGTTACATTAAAAGCTGAAGGTTGTGAAGTAATTTTCTCTCTGTTCTAGTTTGTGCCCTTCAGGGATTATATCGACAGAAGTGGGAACCACATACTGAGCATGGCTAGACTGGCCAAAGACGTCTTAGCTGAGATCCCTGAGCAGTTTCTCTCCTACATGAGAGCCAGAGGAATCAAGCCATCACCAGCACCTCCGCCGTACACCCCGCCCACACACGTGCTACAGACGCAGATATGACCGCACCCAGATGCTGATGTCCATCGCACGTCAATCAGAACTGCTGAGCCTATGCTTTGCACCTGGTGCTCTGCTCTGAACCAGGAAATGAGACACTCTCTCAGATTGGTTTCAGCAGTCCTCGATAAGTGTGCTTTCTTGGATCCAAAATTAACTCTCTTCCTAAACCAAAACTGTAAATATGGTTGTTGCATGGGCAACAGGAAACTCGTTCAGATGCTTGAAGCGAAGTAGAGATGTCTTCTCTAATTTTCAAATATTTTTTTTTGTTTTGTTCTTGACAGATTAGCAAATTTCCAATGTATTATTGGGAAAAAGCACAAGCTACGTTTTTAACACAAATATTGTCCTCGACTGCTCCATATATAGGACAGCAGTTTTTGTGTCAATGTTTACATGTTACCACTTTTTAAATTTCAATACTTTTATAACTGTTCTTAAGAATAAGTTTTGAATATTGAATCCTTTGTCTTCTAAATTGCAATAGCTATAATCACAGGAGCAATATCTCTTTGAATGACTGTCTGGACACTTGTGGTATGAATAAGGGGAGAGAAGGAGGGAAAAGGAACCATTTGCTAGTTAATATCTATCCTGTTTGGGCCAATTGTGGGAGTTTAAACTCATAAACAGATATGACCCTGTAAAAATATGCATTTTCATGGACTTCTGGTTTAAATTTATACTGCAGTCAATTTATGTTTCATGATGTCGAGTAGAAGCAACAAAAAGGCAAACAGTGACCTGTGAACCCACAGATTATACTTTGTATAAAAACTACCATCCTCATAATGCTAATGAGTAAAACCAAGAATATAACTCCAAACCGTGTACCAAGTGTTTTAAATTTTGTGTTCAGTTGTATCCTGTCTAGATATTTTAATTCAAAGGGATACCGGCTCTCCTGCTTGGGGTTTCCTGTCCTCACCATTCCACTTGGCCACACGAGTTGCACAGGCGAGAGTCTCTTGTGAGTTCTCAGTTCAACACCCACATCCCTGTGACTCAGCATACACCTCATTCGTGAAACAAACTTGTTCCTGCACCCTGACCTGCCTGTTTGTGAAATGCCCCATTCCTATATCCCAACCTGCCTGCTCACAATCAATTCTAAATAGTTCTCAATGTACAGTTTTTATACAAACTACAGTTTTGTGAAGTTATGTCTAAATTTCTTTAGAACAAATGGCCTTAAATTCTCACAGAATTCCTGGAAATGATTGTGAATTGCCTTCAAACTACAGAAATGTGCATTTATTTATTGTTCTTTTTTGTGTCAACAGCGTGACTGTTGTATAATCTCTCTGCCTCCCCCCTCTTTGCTACTTGGATTATTCCTACTGTGTGTTCTCCTGTCACAAGTTGACCTCTGGTGACTTTTATAAGCATGAAGCTGTTTTACTGGAAGAATACATAATCCTCATAGCTAACAGAATCACAGTCACATAACTGTGATATGAATTGTCCATTTTTAAGTACATATTAAAATCTTTAAAAGGATAACTGTGTTGGGTTTCGTTCACGGGTGTGATGGAGTCTCATAATTTGCTTTGCTCATCTTAAACATTCCTGCCAGTCTATTTTGTTAGCCGATAGTTTTTAATTTACCTTCATTGTTCACTCCAAAAGACAAAAGTATATGAGATCAATATTTATCCCTTCTTGTCAAATATCAGTTATTTTCCTTATGTGGACAAGCGTACACACTGTAACATATGTAAGAACTGCCTTAAGCAACATTACCAGCATTTTGTGGAGAGCAACCAATAGCTTTGGCACTAGCATGGGTTATCTGTCATTTCTGTAGTGCGCCTTCCACTAACAGCTCTATTGGATGTTACCCATCCCTGGCACTGGCGGTGAGGAATGTCTACTTAGGGCTCTGTCTTCCCCATTATTTTGATGATTCCATTTATAAGACAACATTCATACAAAACATTAAGTACATCTTTTAAATCTTTAAAATTTTAGTACATCTGAATTAATAAAATTACTGCCCTATCACTGTCAGTGATAGGAAGTGACACATTCTGTATATGGGATTTTGTTAGCTTTGGATCACTTTCAGTTCTTGACCATGAGAAGACACAGCAACAATCACAGAAGAGCCTTCATTTTCTTTTTTGGGGGAAAAACATACATTTTTAAATCTATTTATTTTTATCAACTGGCTCTTGAGGTCAGCCACCAAATGGAAGTCTCAAAAGATGAATTAACTACAAGTAATTTTAATTTTCACCCATTTTGTGAAGCCATTTTTATATTTTATGTCAATTATTTTAAAGATAAATCCAAAGAATTATTTATTTTGCTTGATGTCTTTATAGGCTGATCACAAAAGTCTTACAAGTTTCAGCAAAGAGAGATAACTTAGCAACACACTATGCATTGGTGGTCAAAGACCTGGATTTCCATCTCCGTGGTCTAGAAATTTTATCCATTTAATGTGATATTTTCAAGGATCCTTAAAGCATTCTTATGCTAGCCTCTCAAGGACACAGTTTGCATTCCCTGAAGTGTGGCTCTTTAAAGAGCCAAATAGGTGGGGTTACTGTATAAACTTGAGTACTCAGCTCTGAGAAGCACCCTCTCAGGGCTTGTACAAATGGACAATCTCAGCTTCTCATTTACAAAAGCAGACATATGTCCTCACCACCCTCCTTTCATGTCTAAACTCCGAGGATACAGGGCAGATGGGTAAAGGTCTTTGAGTTCATGTGCATGTGTGCTTATCGCTCTGATCTTCACAAACAGGGTCACTGGACACACATTCCTAGTAATCCTGCAGACGTTCCCAAGGGGCTTTCTCTATACTCAAGGTCTAGTCTGAAAGAACAGGCTGCTGAAAACAAATAAGTCAAAATGATAGATTATATATCTTCCTGCCCCGAATGATCATCAAAACTTCCCCAGATCCCTTGTGCTGAGGATTCATAGCTCCCGCCTAGGGTCTGGCACATGCCAGGCTGAAGATCCCTTCATCCTTTCACCTCAGTAATCATTATATTGACTCCTTGCCTCCTTGAGTCTCATCCCCTCATTTAAACCTCCTTTGAAGACAGCTGGCTGGAACATCTTTAGGTAGGTAGATTTTAGTATGGCAGTCATATATTATATGGCTAATATCTACTTCTAGGTGAGTACATACCATGCCTGTCTTTCTGTTTCTGGGTTACGTCACTCAGGATGATCTTTTCTAGCTCCATGCATTTGCCTGAAATTTTCATTATTTCCTGGTTCTTAATAGCTGAATATTATTCCATTGTGTAAATGTACCACAATTTCTGTATCCATTTCTCTGTTTAGGGACATCTAGGTTGATTCCAGATTCTGGCTATTACAAATAAAGCAGCTATGAACATAGCTGAGCAAATGTCCTTGTTAAATGGTGGGTTATCTTTTGGAGTAGTATAGCTGGATCTTGAGGTAGTGCTATTCCCAAATTTTTTTGAGAAAGTGCCAGATTGATTTCCAAAGTGGATGTACAAGTTCATACTCCCACCAGCAATGGAGGAGGGTTCCATTTTCTCCACATTCTCTCTAACATGTGTTGTCACTTGAGTTTTTTATCTTAGCCGTTCTGTTCGGTATAGGATGGAATCTCAGAGTTGTTTTGATTTGCATTTCCCTGATGACTAAGGATGTTCAGCACTTCTTTAAGTCTTTCTCCACCATCTGACATTCCTCTGTTGAGAATTCTCTGTTTAGGTCTCTCCCCCATTTAAATTGGATTATTTGGTTTGTTGGTGTCTAATTTCTTGAGTTCTTTATGTATTCTGGATATTAGCTCTTTATCGGACTTGGGTTGGTGAATCCTGGGGAGGATGCTTAAATCTCATTCAGAATGGCAAACAGGATAGACACCAGAAGTGGTGGAGGAGAGGAAACAGGATGGGAGCCTACTATAGAGGGTCCTAGGAAAGGCTCCACCCAACAGGAGATCAAAGCAGATGCTGAGATTCACAGCCAAACTTTAGGCAGAGCACAGAGAGTCTTATGGAAGAAGAGGGAGGGGATAGAAGGACATAGAAAAGACAGGAGCCCCACAAGGAGACCAACAAAGCTAAATATCTGAGCCCAGGGGCTCCTGCAGAGACTGATGCACCAACCAAAGACCATGCACAAAGAGGATCTAGACCCACTGCTCATATGTAGCCAATTGGCAGCTCAATCTCCATGTGGGTTTCTGAGTAAGGGGAGAGGGGCTGCCTCTGTCATGAACTCAGTTGCGGGCTCTTTGATCACTTGTCCCTGGTAACGTACCCTTACCAGGCCACAGAGGATGAGGATCCAATCAGTCCTGATGAGCCTTGATAAGCTATGTGCAGATGGCAAAGGAGGAGAACTCCTCTTTTCAGTGAACTAGGGAAAGAGGATGGGGGGAAGAGGGAGGAAGGGTGGGACTGGGGGGAGTTGAGGGAGGAGTTTCAATCAGGATATATAATGAGTAAATTGTGAAAAAAATAAAATTAAACTAAAAGTCCTTGACATTAAAAAATAAAGTTTTTTTTGTAGGAACAATAATAATTTAAAAAAAAAAAAAGGAGAGCTGGAATAATCACCTTGCCACAATCTGTTCTTCTCTTTCTGTTTTTATTGTATATATTCCACTTTGGTATTTTTTTTTATAAACTCCATGAAAGCAAGAATCAAACAAGACTTCATCCTCATCTGTCTCTAGCATATAACACATGACCTTTGTGGTTACATATATGGTAGATGAATTATAAAAGTGAGCTGAATATAAAGACTGATTTCTAGAACTGCTAGATTACTTATCTGTTATCATAAAGTGATCCAGGATTCAATGTCTTCAGATGGAGAGAAGATCTATAATGGCTAATTAGATGTAAAGCCTGCTAAACAGGAGGAAATTCATGTTTGGCACCAACCTAGCCAACTACCCATGGCTGGAAGGATCAGACTCTAGAGGAGAAATTACTACTGCCATTTTACTAAGCCAATATAATTTCTAACCATATGTAAAAACTTATTTTTACACACACAGATTAGTATCATTTTTACCTCTTATTTAAGAAGCTCCTTTTTTAATCAGATAGACTGTTACAAAGATCTACAATTGGTCAAAACATGAAGAATAAGTGATCATGGGTGCACAATCCCATTTGATATATCTGCAGTGCAAGCCCTACACCTAAGGCTCAGGAGAACATCTCAGAAGAGAGAGGAGGAAGACTGTGAGAGTCAGAGAACCAGGACACCTGCTGTGACACAGCGTCTTCTAGACAGGACAGTAAAACCACCCATGAGGTCTCAACGATCTGATCTCCTTAACAAGACCTGCTTACATGGTCTTGTTGACATGGCAGAACGCATGGGGGAAATACTGTAAGACACTACCCTGGGTGAAATCTGGCACTCAGTCACTGAATGCTAAGAGAGGGCTGTGCAATCCCAAGTGGTAAGCCCTAAATTCAAGTACATAAAAATAAAATTAAATTAAGTAGGTTATATATAAACATGCGCATGAAGCAATAATTTTTTTTATTTTGTATTGTTTTATTTTATTGTGAGTAATAAAACTGACAGAAAACAGAAACAAAATTTACACCCCCCCAAAAAATTATGCTTCCCTTTCTTACAAGCAAATACAGAGAATTTGAGTTGACACAAGGAGAAAAATTCATCTGGGTTATTTAGTAAACATTATCCAGTTATATATAATAAGTAAAAAAATGCATGCAGTGTGCATCTACTAACTCACTGAATAAAGAGGTCTTCAAATTATGAGGGAGTAAGGGGCCTGGGAAGAGTTAGAGGGGTAGAAATGACATGAATACAGAACTGACACACAAAATTCTCAAA